GCTTATATAAAAGTCCCTCTTGAACAGACTGACAAACTTAATTGTAGCTTGTACTATGAGTTAGTAATAGACTTGTGCAATGAAATGGAAATAAAACAAACAGTATATAGACTTCTAAAGCTACTTTATAATTTATTCTATCATTTTGATCGTCTTTTAATTTATCTTAATTGAGGGTCTTTTCTCAGCAAATATTGAAATGGTGTACGTAGCATGCTATTAAATTAGATTAAAACTGTTAATCAATTGATAGCCTTGATTTTTTTTTTTAGAGCTTTACACAATGCATTATGGGATTGCCTTCCCCACCAGGGATACATCCCAAAATGGTGGTATATTAAAAGGCAGCTTAATTATGCTATCTTCTTTTTGGAACAGCTGGGTGGGTGCCTATGATTTCTTAAAATGCCGCCTACAGAGACAACTCAATAGGGGTTGGGGGGGGGGAAAGGAGAGAATATGAAAGGGAGATTGTTCATGGAAAGGTTGCGCAATTAGAATTAAACTTTAAGAGGAATTAAAAGGGTCTTAAGCAAACGAAATAAAGGATAGAGCTGGCGGATTAAAAAGGAAGAGGCAGAGAAAGAAATGGCGGCTGATTTGGAGAGATCAAAAGTCGCTTGTCGGGTTAGATTGATTCTCTGATTACCTCTGTTTCTCATAAATGGATGAGAGATAGAAACACAGGAGTGGGGAAAAAAATCAATTCTGTCATCCTCTTTCCTCTGCCTTTTTATAGATGCAGGAAAAAGATACTCTTGTTGTGAGATTCATCTTTTGGCTCTTTCTCCCCTCCTCTGATGCACTCTCGAACTCCTTTCGGCCTTACACTTTTATTTCACTGGTATGCAGTGGCTCATTCAATCTCCACTCTCTTGCTGGCAGGGATTTTAATGAGGCTGTTGTGTTTCAGATATTCAGCCTCCTCGGCCCTCAGGCTTTCCCACACAACAACAACAACAACAACAACTCTGAGGCGATTTCACTGAACAGTTGTGGCACTTTTGAACGTGGTACACTAACCGCCCGCAAACTGGTTTAAACAGGCAACAAATGCGCTGAAGTCTTTCTTGTCAGCGCAAACATGCCTACTACTTATGACCGTGCTTAAAGAATTTTTTGTTTATGTTGTGCTGAATGATACTGCAGTTGGCACTATAGTGACACCTTGTGGTGTGGATGCAGCATTGTGTAAACGCAAAACAAACAGTGCAGTCCTTGGTGAATTTTCACAGCATTTCCCTTCATTACTCTTCATTCATCCATCCCTACAGCTGGATTAGCAGTCCAGATGTTGCTGACCCACATAGAGGAGAGGAACAGCTGTCTGCAGGACGGGGTGGGAAGGCTGTCCTGGATTTTAACAGTCAGAACAACCACTAACACATGTGGGACACTGTGGAGATAGAGAGGATTACCCCTTAAGCCCAAACATCCAGAGGGAGGAACAAGAGAAACTGCAAAGAACAAGAAAAGGAGAAATTCTGTTTGAGGTTGTGCGTGAGCGTGCTTCGGCACATCTGACTTTCTTGTATTTGCTGTCATCGGGGTTTTTTAAGAGCACTTGTCCCACTCATAAATAAGCTCTGTTTGTAATTTGTGTTTTTGTGCACTTTTGTATTTGCAGGCTTTACCAGGTGAACATTTTATTGCTCAGAGGTTGCTCGTTCATAACTCAGGAGGCTTAAAGTCCACATGAAAACAGAAATGGTTCCATGCACTTGCATGTTAGTACTCTGAATGATCCATCGCTGTACTTTATTTGATAAAGTAAAGACTTTTATAATGTTACAAAAGATTTCTATTTCAAATGAAAAATGTATCACGGTTTCCTCTAAAAATGAATCACCACAACTGTTTTAGACATTGATAATAATAAGAATATGTCTCTTGAGCAGCAAATCAGCATATTAGAATGATTTCTGAAAGATCATGTGACACTGAAGACTGGAATAATAATGCTGAAAATTCAGCTTTGCCATCACAGGAATAAATGACATTTTAAGATATATTCAAATAGAAAACAGCTATTTTAAATTGTTATAATATTTCTCAATATTGCTGTTATTGCTGTATTTTTGATGGATTGGGGCCTTTTTGATGGATTGGTTCCATCATCCAACATTTGAAAACATTAAAAAGTCATACAGACCCCAAACTTTTGAACATTATATGCTATAATAAGATTGTGTATCGCATAAAAGATAATATGTATTGAAATCTGAGTTTAGACTTTGGTATTTTGGCTAATCAGTTTGTTGAAAAGGAGAAAATTCTGAGAGGTAGGGTATTTATTCTCCTTTCTAAGAGAAACAAGATATTTAAAAGATCTCACTTGTGATTTTCCCTTTGGAATTGGCCATGGGACAGTGTGACTTCAAGTGGATGAAGTCACTACATTCTTTATACAGTATATTGCCCTCGCCTTCCTCCAGATGTCTTTTGTTCCACTCATCTTGGCTGGAGCTAAGGACTTTTTTTTATTCTTTTAACCATGATCGGTTCAGCCTTCTTTTATAAAGTCTAATGAGTGTAGAGTGCTAAAACTAACGTGACATATCTCAGTGTGAGTGATGACATTCAAGCCCTGGGGAACGGCACTCCTTTCAGTATATGAGCAAGGTGTCTGCTACGAATAGAGAGACATGTCACTTGACATTGCACTGCTAGCCAGTTGGAGTTTTTCCAGCCGCAGATGCAGACATAATTACTTCGTCCTGCAGTTTCAGTTTTACATTGTCTCTCCATTTTCTGGTTCTTGTAGAAGGGCAACATAGAGCACAAATTCTGTAGAAATATGGCAAATATCCACAGGGCTGGTTAAGGCACAAAAGCAGACGGCATAATGAAAACAGAGCCATTTGCGCATCTGCTGGTCAGTCCAACACCAACACTTGGTTGGCGGTGATGCTCTTTCATCATCACTGGGCCACCCGCTAGTGTAAGCTGCTCCTGCTCTGCATTCTTGCCATTGTTGTTATTTTTTTCTCTCAACCACATCCCCCCTCCCCCACTCAATCGTTGGCCTTGTTGTGATCTCTGTGCTAAATCATTTGCTGTAGCTTCAACCCTAAATGGCTAAGTCTGGAGATCAGCCTCTAGCTATATGCAAGTGTTTGGGACATATAATCACAGGACTAGGCTGAGGTTAAAGATGTTTTGACTGGGGGATGGGCGGATGGTTAACAAAAGTAGCAAGGATTTTGCAAGGAATGGCACAAATTTTAAATGTATGAACACTATCATCTAAATTAGGGCTGCACAATTTAGGGAAAACACTTTTAAGAGTTAAAACATTTATTTTAAAAAAAAAAACAAGTTTCTTGTGTTTGTTTGTAAGACTGCAGAATTTGGTCAAATATATTTTTTGATATAATAATAATAAATAATAATAACTATGTAGCTATTGTAATATTTCACTGTAAAAAAAGTATTTAGGAAAAATAATATTATAATAATACCTTTATTTTACAGAATTTATAATTATTTAGTTATTTAATTTATTCATTGAAACATGTTAAACCATCAAGCTTTTATTTTATATTTCACCCAAAAATGAAAATTATCTAATTTACTCACCCTCATGTTGTCATAAACCTACTGTACAACTTACTTCTGTGGAACACAAAACAAGATATTTTGAAGAACTGCTTTTGGCATACAATGAAAGTCAATGGTGTCCAAAATAAATGAACAACAGCAAAACATTGACAAAAGTGCATTTTGACAAAACATCTTCTTTTGTGTTACGTAGCAAAAATTAAGTCAGGTTTGGAACAACGTGATGGTAAATAATGACTAGATTTTCTTTTAATGTTGCTGTTCATGCCTCTTCTAAATACAAGAGTTTTAAAATAGCAATAAAAGGTACAAGCAAGCTGAAACTTAATTTTTTATTGGCTTTTTTATTGCAGACCCACCCCTAGCCACGCCTAAACTTGATCTGTGGTGTTTCATAAAACGATGTCTCCTCCCCCAGATCATGTTTAATACAGAGCTAAAAAAGTAGCTTTAAATTAGGTTTTCCTCATCTGATCTCTCTCCGCTGGGGTTTATTTCTCTCCCGAGAATACACACACTCAGCATGGGGTTGAAAATCAAATCATACAGGCTGCTATCATCCGTAATCGCGCAAAAATTAGCATCCCTGAAAGTGATACAGTTTGGAGGATGTTCTTTTTCTCAATGCTTATGTAAGGTAATTTAGCTTAAACTCAAACCAAGCTTTTGCTTCTGTCAGATAATCTTTCTTCATTGAGCTAACGCCGATCCCTTTGCGTTTGAGATAAATGTGCCTAGTGCTCAGTGCTGGATGCTTTCATATATCTGGGAAACTCTTGTTTGTGTGAGCTGATGATGATCCTCCTCCTCCAGTGTTTTTGTCACGGTGCACTGCTTGGCCTCGGATCGCTGCCCATCTCGCAGTAATTGTGGGCGACTCTGTTATTAATAAGCGCAGGTTGCTAACTGTGCTCTCAAAACATCCTGAGAGAACGGCTGTTTTTCTACCTCACATTCGGACCGATTAATTTGTACAGTTCCTTTTGCAGCGTTTATTGGCAGCATAAGGATTGTTTTTGTACCCAGGATGTGAGAATGAGTCAGCTCAGAAGGGTGTTATTAACTCACTAATGGATATGTCCATACACACACATATTCTGTAGGAACACACGTTCATACACACACTTATAGGAACACATGCACACTCACACACATTGGCTCTAATTATCCATGTAATGTCAGGGGAGACATTAGAGTTCACTGAGCTCTGATGGGTGTCACACCAGAGCAAGAGAGTTCAAACACACGTTAGGATTTGGAAGAAGATTGTGGTTTTTAATTAGCTTAAATTTCATGTTCACAATACCATGACGGCTTCTAATCACTTGACCCTTGGCCTCGTAACTAAGACTCCTTGTTATTATCACTTGAACTCGTAATCTACTCTAAAATGTTTTCAGGTATCACCTCATTGACCCTCATGTCATTTTTGTCAACAGGTCTGACCCGGGGCCTCGGTGTTGTCACTGCGCACAGAGACGTATCATTATGGGAAAACAGAACAGCAAACTCAGGCCCGAGATGCTACAGGACCTGAGGGAGAACACGGAGTTCACTGACCACGAGCTGCAGGAGTGGTACAAGGTCGGAACATCTTGAAATATGCACAGGGGCCCCTAAAAGTATCTAGGCACTTAAGCCACACAAAATGTATGAAGTTCATTGCCTTACAAACAATATCAAACCAAGTGCCAAGTGACATTCATAAATTAAGTGCACTGCAAAAAAAAAAAAATTGTATTTTTGTCTTGTTTTCCAGTACAAATGTCTAAACATTCTTAAAGATATTAAGTCGGTAACACTTTACAATAAAGTCTCATTTGTTAACATTAGTTAATGTATTAACTAACATGAACTATCAATGAGCGATTCATTTATTACAGTATTTATTAATCTTTGTTAATGTTAGTTAATTAAAATCCAGCTGTTCATTGATTGTTTATGTTAGTTCACAGTGCATTAACTAATGTTAACAAATACAACATATGATTTTAACAGTGTATTAGTAAATATTAAAATGACCAAAGATTAATAAATACTGTAGAAGTATTGTTAATTCATTTTTCAGAAAACTTAACTTAATATCTTAAATCATTTTGCTTCTCAAGTAAATGTACCTTGATTTAAGAATGTTTAGATATTTGTACTGGAGAACAAGACAAAAAAAAAAAAAAACTAAGGAAAAAATTTTTTGCAGTGTGTGACTTTGGTTCCAAATACTCAGTTTACTCTACATGGAGGGTAAGTTATTGGACTTTGTTAACAGAAATATTATCTCAGGTAAAGAAACAAAAAGTGCAGTTGTCACTGGAGCAGTACACTTATAGGAACTTTGAACCTTATTTACCCCTAAAATGTGCATATGAGTACCTTGGAATAGTAATATTTACCCTTAAGGTACTATGAACCTTTTAGGGGTAAATTAGTGGCAAAGTTCGAGTTTTGCAAATGTTTTCTGAGAGTGTATGGTATTTATCCATATGCATATTTGAACATGAAAACAGTAACCCTTTCCCAAAAAGATGGTTAAATATAGCATTTAGTGAATGTCTCTATAAGTGGTGTTCATGGGAATATGTATCCCAGGGTTGGTTGCCCCTTGTGCCAGAAGGTTAAGGTTAAGGTTGTGTATGTAAATTGAAGTTATGCATCATGAGCCACGGAGTCCCTGGGGCTGAAAAAGCTAAGATCAATTTGCGCATTTAAGTACTGTCGGAAATGACTGTAATATTTAGTTTGTACGCATTTTGTGTAGTCTAGATGTAGTTTATGATCTGACAGGCTTGTGCAATCAAATTATATTTCCAATCACTTTCTGAGGCACAAGATTGATAAAATATACAGATTATACAATTACACAAGTAATGTGCATCCTTTGCTTTTCATTATGCACTTAAAATGCTTCCCGTCTCCATTGGGATTTTACAAACGAAAGAAATACTGAATTCTCCAGTTAGTTTATTGTAGTATTAAAAAAAAATCACTTGAACACACATCATGTCACATCATGAAATCAATTATGATTTCCAAACCTGCGATTAGGAACTTCCCAGGAGGACGTGAATGCAGCAATAGACCTTCTATGGCGTTATTATACTGCCAAATGTCAAAAACCACTTATTGTAACATAAGAGTACATCCATGTAATTCACAAGTGTGATTCTCTCGGCTTACATGCAGATTTTCTTCGCCCTCGCACAAAACTGGACACATGCTCTCAAAAATGCAGTGCTCTTTTATGAATTGCCTCTCAAACATTTGTCCTGTGCACTCGTGAATCTCTCCATCCTCTTGCGCTATAATTTAATTATCTTTGCTCCTAAACATAGTCATTGTGTATTAAACGCTCCTGGCTGTATCAACCAATCAGAATAGGCTTCCATGACTGACAGATGAAATTACTGAAAAATGTGCATTTGATATAAGCAGTATAATAAAGCTAAACCTTCCGTCTTGGAATTAAGCTCACAATACCCTTGAATGTTTGTGAAGGATAAAGACATAAGTGAAAATTACAGCATCATCATGAGAAATCATTTATGTTGAGATGTCACATTCTTATAAAGGAGCCTCTTAAAGCATGCCACTAATGGGAATATATGTTGTTCACTCTAAACAGGGGTTCCTCAAAGACTGTCCCAGTGGGCATTTGAACGTTGAAGAGTTTAAGAAGATCTACGCCAACTTCTTCCCATACGGTGATGCCTCAAAGTTCGCTGAGCACGTCTTCCGTACGTTTGACACCAACAACGATGGGACCATCGACTTCCGGGAGTTCATCATTGCTCTGAGCGTGACATCACGGGGAAAACTGGAGCAGAAGCTGAAGTGGGCCTTCAGCATGTACGATCTGGACGGCAACGGTTACATCAGCCGTGATGAAATGCTAGAGATTGTGCAGGTCAGAGTCATTCTGCGATGGTTTTGCAACTTGTGCTTTAATCTGCATTATGAATCCACTCTTAGAATAAAGAAAATGTACAGTATATTGCATCCATATACACTGATTTTCTCAGTGCTGTGATGATTTTGTTAAACAAATGTTTAAAAGTTTGATGCTAAATGCTAACTGTCAAGGTTAGTGTGCTCAATAATCCTGAAATTTTGGTTAGCTGGTCTCCCAGCCTTGTCAAACTGAAACCACGTTCACACCAATAACGATAGCTATAATGCTAACTATTTTAGCTTTCACATCAGCGTCTGCTGCTTTAAAAGCTCAAGGTCTGTTAGATTCTGATTGGCTATCATTGTTTTTATCATTCATCAGCTAGAAAAAGTGATTCTAACGATATTGTTTCTCTGTGACCTTATCGTTATAATTGTGGTGTGGACTCTGCTATTCTTTTATATATTAGATTTTTAGAACTATATCTTTATCGTTATAGTTATCATCCTTGGTGTGAACGTACCTTTATGCTCTTTCAATTGTGTAAACATACATCACGTTTTTTTGTGTCCTGTCCCCGACTGGAGTTGTCCTCGGAAATGTCTCTGTTTCACAGCATGTTTAAAACACCCTGCAAACACACTACAATAAAGCGTTCAGGATTGTACAATTTTAAACTTCAGCCATCAAAATGCAGTAATATGTTATATGTAGGTAGATAGTGATATGAATACATATTTGTGCTCAAAATTCAAAATAATAAGCCAAATTAAGGATAGCAAAGATCCATTTCCAAAAGTACAAACATAAGATAACCTTTAAAAAGTAAAAAAAAAAGTTTAATTACTGTATACAGTATATCCACAACTTGTGAAAATATTAAATACATGTAGAAAATGTTAAATACAGTTTTATTTATCGTATGTTGTGATTATTTATTTTGTTTAATTTTTGTAATGTTTTTTTGTAAAGTCATAATTCACAGTTTATATTCAGAGTGGTTACTATTTACTATTTTTCATAGTGTGATTTTTGGTGAATTGTGTTAAAATCAGTTAGGGTCTGTTTCACCTGCAAATATCATAATAATTATTCATTATAATAATGGTATATAGAAAAAAATACAAAATATATCATCCCCATGTTTTAATTCATAGATAATAAGTGATATTTCAATGATATTTTGACCACGTGACCTAGAAAATGTCCCCGGTTTCCATTTCATAAATCTGTTTGCCTCATCTTTCAGAAAGGATTTGTCATTCTAAAAGTTTAGGCTTATTGAGCACATTAGTCTTATGACGGTTCAAATTTAGCATATAACATGGATAATTATGGATCAAGAAATCCTCCTGTTTGTTGACTTGTTGAGTGACGTTGTGTCCTTATGTTGGATGAAAGAAAAACATTTGCTTTTATCTTTTATGAAATGAAAGTATCAAAATACTTGAAGGAAACAGATGCAATATTTAATTTATGTTGAGCAGTTTTTCCCACCTAATATGTTACTTATGCCGCGTTCCAGGCAACCTGTAACCCGTGTTTTTCCAACCTTATACCCGTGAAAGTGTACTGGAACGGTAGTCAAACCCGTGACTTCCCACCCGTGAACTCGTACTAGATCGATGTACTCCCAGTTACGAGTTCTGACGTCACATAGCCCGCAAAACCATACAAAACAACAATGGCAGCCCCTACGGATGCAGTGTTTCTGCAGGCGGTACACAGTGAGAATACACTTTAGGACAATATAACGTTGCAGTCAAATTAAAAATAATATAATAATAATGATAATAATACACACAAGATTATGTATTACAATGTTATGTGTCTGAAACAATAAGTATGTATATACACACACGATTATGTATTACAATGTTATGTGTATGAAAAAATAAGTATGTATATTGCGCTCAGGTAGTTTGGCGTGACTGGCCTGGAATGCTACAAAGTCGTGAGTCGTGGTTTGAAGTCGTGATTTACGAGCTCAAAAACCTGCCTGGAACGCAGCATTAATATCAGTGCTCATATTTCATGATCCTTTTACTGCAGCCTCAATATTTTGTCTCCTTTGTTGTTTCTCAAAATTATTCAAATTGACCAGCATCATTGATCATAAACCGACATCGACAATGTTCAGGATAGCATACTACCGTAAAATATTACTATTTCCACATGGTATAGAATGTACAGTATACTGTGTATATACTACACCATCTGGTTCTAAAAACAAATAGCACTGTATTCTGACTAAATTACGTTTTTTTACAAAATATTTTTTTTAAATAGTAAGCTATATTCTGCATAGTATTCAGCAAGTAAGATTCCATTTCAAACTATACAACTATTCCATTTCAAACTAAACTTACATTCTCCTCCTAAACCAGCAGTGACTTCATGTACAGTACAAGTCTTCATAATTTGCAGAGAGCACAGAGATGAGAAGCCTGACCCCTGGTGGAGAGATCAAGCACAAACATTAGCTGTCCCAGATGAATGCTCCCCTGTGAGCCTATTAGCATGTGCTTAGCATGCTCAGTTGGTACCAGTCTCCCTCAACCAGGGTTGGCAAAGCTCAGTTCTGTGCGATGCCTGACTGGCGAAGATCGCGGCGATAGGGGAGGGCCATAGGTAGCACCCACGTTGGCTCTCTTCTCTGTTGGATTAACAAGTTAAATTTAACCGGGGTTTATCCCTGTGTGTGCAGAACGGTGGGATTATCCGCAAGCTCATGGAGGTTACAGTTGGCTGGCACTCTGAGATTGCAGCGTGTTGCATATTTTATCACGGCGGCTGCTTTTAAAAGGTGCAGGGCTAAGCCGAGAGTATGGCACTAGCAGTCTGCCCAAGTGTGAATATCATTATCCCTTAAAACCATTACATAATTGATTGACTTAAAACCATCTTCTCAGATTTTGTGGATATGGCAAGTAAATGATCTGAAAAAGCCTATGAAGTTTCCTTTCTACTTCATGGCTCATGTTGAATCTCGGTGCAGCATGAAATGCTAATGGACTAGAGTATTGGCTGAACCTGTGAAGGCCAGATAAAGGTGGTCTACTGATAATTTAGCTTTTTTTTTTTACCTGGTTCATTCATATATCTAACAGGCCATTTATAAGATGGTGTCATCGGTGATGAAAATGCCTGAGGACGAATCCACACCAGAGAAGAGGACGGATAAGATATTCAGACAAATGGACCTGAACAATGATGGTAAGATGTGGACCAATTCTTGACCGTTTCGTTTCAATTTGAATTGAAATCACAAAATGGCCTTGCGTGATTATTAAACAACAAAAGTATGTGATTTATTTTAAATAAATGTATAGAATGCATGCACTCAGAGTATGTGTGGCATTTTCAGCAGTCTCAAGTTGGTGCATAAAAATGCTTGGTTTACCTTTTTTAATTTGCAAAAAGAAATATGAATATATTTTATATAAATCGAATATACTGGGACACAAAATACTGTAACCGCTAAACTGTTTTCCACCAGAACAAAGGCTTGAGAAAGTGGCGCAGCATCTGTCAATTGTTCACTACCGTTCAAAAGTTGGGATTTAAAAAAACCTTCTATTCAGCAAGGATGCATTAAATTGATCAGTAAAGTGACAGTAAAGACATATATAATGTTAGAAAAGATTTCTATTTAACCCTGTGGTGCTCTTCCCGTGGTGGTCAAAATTGACAGAATTTTTTATTATTGAAAACAAATAAATGTACTATATTTTAGTTTGATGTTTTTTATTTAATATTTTGTATTTTTAAGGGATTTAATGGTACTAAATTATATTTACGCTGTATTTATTATCCATTTATTCACTTTTTGAGCATAGACTTGAAAATTAAATTTCCAACTTATTTAAAATTCAGTGCTTTAGAGCACAGACTTAAGTTTGATCTCTTTTCAGAGGTGACACTTGGAAAATTATTGATGTTTATTATGAAAAATGCACTAAAATACTATTTAAATTTTTATATGAAATGTATATTTTCAAAAATACGTTTTACTCTAAAACTGAAAGAAAATCAAATCCATAAATCTAAACAAGTTGTGTTCCAAATTTGAGCTTGATAACTTAAAAAAAAAACAAGCTTTCAGTAAGACTTTGGCCGCAGTACCAAACTTTTCCACTAGATGAAATAAATTCCCCATTCATTTCCTATGCATAAAGGAGCACAAGTTGCACAACTGTGACTATTTTTTTCAGGACCATTTAACCTTTTCCAAATCATGTCCATGATTTTTTTTTTTGTGTTCACATAGCATGTGCCAAGACCTTTACCAAGTTTTATACCATTTCGATGAAGTACAAAAAAACTTGACAACATTGATTATTGTGCTGAGCACCAAATCATCATATTGATTTCTGAAGGATCTGAAAACTGGAGTAATGATGCTGAAAGCCTGGAAATTTAGCTTTGCCATCATAGGAATAAATTACATTTTTAAATATATTAAAGGCTAAAGAGTTGTTTTAAATTGTAAAATGACTGTTTCTACTGTATAAAATCCTTGGCGAGCATAAGAGACTTTTAAAAAAACCTTAAAATAACCAACCCCAAACATTTGAATGATAGTGTACATGCAAATGAGAAATTACAACAGAAATATATGTTTTTAAATATAAATTTAAATGGAAAGAACGCAGGTTTTAACCCAGGTCAGGTCTTGCAGTGTCTTCTCTCAACTTTTCCCCTGACCCTTTCCGTCTTCTCTTTCTAGGCAAGTTGTCTTTGGAAGAGTTCATTAAAGGTGCCAAAAGCGATCCCTCCATTGTGCGACTACTGCAGTGTGACCCCAGCAGCGCTTCGCAGTTTTGAGTCACTCCAGACAACCGGCACTCAATGCATGAAAGCTCTTATATCTCATTCTTCTTTGTGTTCCAGACGGAAGAGTTTTAAGAGTAAAAAAAAAGTGCAACAGTTTTCAGTTTTTTCCCAGAAAGGACATGCGTACATCTGAAGAGCAAAGACAACACCTGCCAAGACATCCAAGTCTGCTGCGTGTCATCCGTCCTTGTCTCTGCTAGTGGAGTGCTTGACTCCACACACACACACACACACACACACACACAAAAAAGGGTCCAGATTTGGGAAAGGAATGTTCCTTTTTAGGAATCGTGCATGCGCTCCCGACCTTCCCCACTCCTCACAAACCTTTTGTGTTTAATATCTGTGCTGTTTTGTTTCTCTTCCCCTTTGTTTTGTGAGCGCACAGTTCCCCATCTACTTTTTATATTGATATTTATGTGTATATACAGTATAAATGCATATTAGAACTACAAAGGAAGGCAGTTATAGACGTCTTTTTACTCGCGTGCATCTTACGGCAGTATTATGTAGCTTCGGGCAGTATCCAAATCTTAGTCTCTAATCGACCCAGTGGACTGATGGACTGAATGTTGGGATTTTCCTGCTCTGGCGCTCATGATCTTTATTTTACAAAGAGAAGGCTGAGGATCCCATTCTTGAATTCTATTCATTTGAACTTTTTGTTGTTGTTGTTGTAAATATGTGGTTTGCCTCCATATCTCTTTTATTTATTTTTGCATTTTTATGGTGTTTATTTGACCAAGGGTGATTTTATTACTGTTTAACCGAGACGTTAGACACTTGGTGATGTATTATGAGCAAGTTGTTGTTAATTCAAGGCTTTTCAATGCATTGTGGGTAATGTTTGCATCAGGGGATACATTCCGTTGTGTTTTGAATGGAATACACTATAGCACATATCATTTGAAGCGCTTCATCTGTGTGTGTGCGGTAATATGCGTGTTTGTGTGTACGCAAGAGTGAAGGTTTGCATGTCTGTGCTGACTTTATACTATCACTTTGTGTTGTTCAATACGATATCTTTGTATGCAAGCAAGTTTTGAACCCCGATTTGAAGCAGCTCGTGATGACAACTTTATCCTGCATCGTATGGTACTCAAAATCACCTGCTTAGGTTTCCATCAACAACATAGACAGGAATGTACAACTCTATCATTTATGATCATGTCTCACCTTAAGATAAAGAGTTTGAATACTGAAAGCGATCACTAAGGGCTTATTTTCACTCTTGAATGAACAGGTGTAAAGAGAACGCCACTGCTTTGATTTTTCTTTTCTTTTTATGCAACGACTGACATTCCACGACCTGAAACCTCCAGGTGCTCCTGCTTTGTACAAACATATCAGCTCATGAACTCAATACATGCCCACTCTCAATACATGTGTAGCTTCCATGTTGCTTCCATATTTGTACCGAGGCCATATTTGATGCTGCACCCTCTATGGCAACTTTCCTCTATTATGTTGCATGAAAACCTCATGCGAGGACATAATGATTGTCCCCTTTTACTGACGTTGAAAAATATACTTCTGTGTTTAGAATGTCGCCTGAGAGTGATTCTTACGCAACGCTGACCTGCAGTTAATGTTAGGAACTTATTGGTCAACCTGGTCATGTGATCACAAAGTGCAAAGGGAGTGTGCGCCATTCAGAGTTGAATTTAGAACGCCTTTAAAATTCCAATACGATTCCTGAATTTGGTTTGTCAGTAGCAAACAGAATGCAAAATTTAATGTGAATAGGAATGTAAGGAACTTAAAATGAAATTGAAATGTTTGTAATTTAAGTAGAAAAGCGATATATATATTTGCATGACACTTCATAATTTATTCCTCTATGAACACACACAAACACACTTTCACTGTAAAAAAAAACAACAACAAAAAAACGTTGTGATTTTAATGGTAAAAGACTGCTATGGTAAAACCTGTTATTTGGTTAACAGTAAGTTTTTGGAAGTGAAAAATAACAAGTCATTGTATAATTTACAGTGAAAACCGTAAATTGACATTCCCAGAATTCCCTGCATGCCGCTTCACATTTGATGTATTTTCATTGAAATAACTATGTTTCTTCTTAGTTTTTTTTTTATCAGTTATGTACATTATGGTTTTACGTTACATCTAATGTTGTTAAATTAATGTTTATTGCATTACTTCAGTGTCATGTGTGTGTTACCATGATGGTATTTTGTGTTTGTGTGAATGACGTTGTGCACCTTTTATATATACTTTTTCAGCTTGTAGAAAAGCTGCTTGTGATGAGCTTTGATTCATCATGTTACTTTCTCATCACCACTTGTTTTTGGTGTTTGTCAGTGTATAACAAAGATACAAAACAACAGATATTAGTACTTCAGAAGGTTGATATTAGTAACATGATATTAGTTAATGAAATGTTGTTGTTTTTTCACTGTAAAAAATGTTAAATCTTTAACTACCTTATTTTTACGGTAAATTTGTGGCAACCACAGCTGCTTGTTTTTTTTTTACCGTAAACTTCAGGTTCTTTTTTTACAGTGCATTGTAAAAACTGTTGCTGCCTTAAATTTAAGTACAATCAACAATTAACTTAAATTAGCCTACACTAAACTGACTTTAAAAATGAGTTGAATCTTGTATAACTTATAATTAAAAAAAAATTGTTTAATTTATTTTGATGAGTTAAAGCAATGTAAAAACATGTTGTCATAACATTGATCATACATTTTTTAACAGTGTAATGATTTCAGCTTTTAAGGCCTATTAGCTATATGACCCTCCAAAGTATGCAAAATCTGACACACTCACTTTAAAAAAAAATCTTTCTAGTCTCTAGACACCATAAACCAGACACTATTAAATATAGGCTATATTGTATTGAGACAACACACGAAAAGAGATGATCCATGAGTGAAAAACATTAGATGCGATATAGCTACTACAATCATGTAACATTCGTCTGTCTTCGAAAGAGTTTAAATTGCCCTTGATCCCCGAATGAGGCCAGAGCAATGGTCCGGTTCAAAATCATATCCAGATGCTAGACCGTTCCAGCGCCGCCCGGTTGAACGGGGATGCGGAGGGGTGTTGGCGGTACCCGGACGACGCGGAGCGGTGTGGGTGAGAGTTGCAGGGTGACTTGTACAGCTTTGGGGGTCTAACGGGCAACCTCCTCTCCTCGTCTCCTTCACAACGACTGGATGAAGCTGCGTAGCGGGGCTCGGGCGCTCCCGGGGTTTTCATCTGAAAAAGAACACAGTGATACCGCTTTACAGTAGGACTGCAGTTGAGTCGCCGAACACACACACACACACACACGTATACCCGCGCATACAGGGGGTCATGTACGCGTCAGTCACACATGTGTTAGTATTCTCTTAAGCATCTATTAGGAGGACCGCATGAGTTGTCAGATGTAGGCCCTACTGGAAACTTAAAGGATGAGTCCACCTACGCGAAAGCGCTGATTATTTTTAATAAGGCAAATTTGATCTCTCTTGAGGATCAGTGCAGATTTGGCCAGGCGGGCCAACACATACCAATCTGCTCTTATCTTGTAAATGTTGTTTGCGGAGGCACCAGGGCTGACCGAGGGAGGAGATGGAGACCTTAAATAAGCGGCATGAGAACACCATCTCCACTGCACTCATTAGTATCAATGGGATCCACAGGACTATCGTGGTGCTCTGAGAGAGAGAGAGAGAGAGAGAGAGAGAGAGAGAGAGAGAGAGAGAGAGAGAATTGACTTTTAAAACCCTTTTAATTTACCCCATTTTCCAGAACATTACAGAGCTAATATACAAAACAACACACATAAAAAAAAAACATATATAGGCCTATATACACACATACATACATACAATGTACAATAATAATAAAATATAAAGTTTAATTGGTAATTTCACCAATTAAAAACCAAATTTCCAAACTCACTAATTGTCACTAAAGCATCTCTCACGCCCCACCTCATTGTAAAAAAAGGTACATTATCAGTTTGTTTGTAATATGCAAATTTCAATAGCAACCCTAAATTCTACCAATGATTTAAAAAGAAACAACAAATCAACATCTTGAGCAGCATTTTTACATTGATGTGTTTTCAGGATTGCTAAATTGGCTTGGCCCATTAAAAAATTGGCAAGCACACACTGTTCGCGCCATGACTGTTTATACTTGCAGCCAAAAATAAAAAGGGCCTTTGTAAAAGAAAAACCCAATTTCATACTTAGTTTTTCCAAAAGTACAAAAAGTGGAACCAGCCTTGAACACTCACAGAATAAATGAAATACAGTATCGGAAGCCTTACAGAAAGAACATTCAGGTAAAACCACTTCACTCAATTTAGAAACAAAGTTGTTTGTAGCCAACACACTGTGGAGTATTCTCCACTCTAGATCTCCACATTTTTTTGGAATAGGAGGCTTGTACAACAGCCTCCATGAGGGATCCACATCTCTGGGCACTGATAGGTACGTCCTCCATTTAGTATCTATCCTTTCCTTCAACTGTCCAAAGTGTGCCGATTTAGCACAAACATAATAAACAGTATTCTTCCCCATACTTTGGAAATCCAAAAATTCAAACCCCTTTAACAAAAGAACCTTAGTATTCTCTTCGATTTCCCAAAAAAAATTAGGGACAACTTTTAATGCTGGAAAAGTCTTTGACAACAAGCCATTATTTAAAGCAGAATCTACAAATGATGTGAATACTGGGGGGAAACAAGCCTTGAAGCTCTTAACTACGCCTTCCTTCCACTATTCTTACTGACCTCATCCCGACCTGGTCAGCAAGTGACTGAGCCGTTCTCCACTGACCTCTTGTTATGTAAAGCAGATCTATAACTCTAGTTATTCCAGCATTCAAAAACATTTCAATTACAGAACCTGTAATTGAAAAAAAGGGTTGAAAAACAAAGGTTCTGCACATCCATAATTTTCATCACCCACTCTTGAAAATTTTAACAAACTCCATGATTGAACAATTGATTCATAGAACTTGAAAAGGGGACAACACACATTTTCAACACAAGGCTTCTCAGTTAAGAACAGCTCTTTGTCAAGATCTGTTCCTCCAAGTTCTTTAAGAATATACAAACAATAATCAATCCATGGCACACCATCAGAGCAGTACAGCAGTTTTTGTAATGTTTGTAGTCTCATTGCTGCAATTTTGGATTCAACGTGTATAAGGCCTTGACCTCCCTCTGCAACGGGAAGATACAGCACTCCAGGAGAAAGCCAATGATGGCCATTCCAAAAGAAATCAACAAATGCCTTTTGAACCTTGAAAAGCAGTTATTTAGGGGGATCTAACACTGTAACCTTATGCCACAGCACTGAAGCGGCCAGATTATTAATCACCAGGCATCTCCCTCTATATGAAAGCTGTGGGAGAATCCACTTCCACTTTTGGATTTTACCAATAACCCGGTCAACCACTTGCAAATAAATGCCAAGAACTTTTAAACCATCCTGTCCCCATTGACAATGATTTGGCAAATTAGGAGGTCCTGAACTATGCCAATCTCCCATTAACAAAGAAGCACATTTTTCCCAATTTATGCGTGCAGGGGTAGCTTCCTGAAAAATATTCAAACATGAAATAATATTTTCAATATCACTTGAGTTTCTAATTATAAGAGTTACATCATCTGCATATGCTAGAAGTTTTACTTGGGGAACTTTGGGGCAACCAGGAACACCAATACCGCATAATCTTTTTCTCAACATAAAAAGGCTCAATAGAAATAGCGTAGAGTAAACCTGATAGAGGACACCTCTTGTCACTGAAAAGGGTCTTGTTAATGTTCCATTCACTCTTAACATGCTATAAATATCACTGTACATGAGCTTAATAAAAGACACAAAATGATGACCAAAGTCAAAAGCCTCAAGAGTCTTAAATAAATAAGAGTGGTCCACTCTATTAAAGGCTTTTTCTTGGTCCAAAGAGAGTAGACCAATGTCCAGGTTATGCCTTTTTGCCACTGAAATAATATCTCTAACCAAAAAAAGGTTGTCATTGTTCGGTTAGGAATACAGTAAGACTGATCGTTGTGAATAACAGTTTCTATGCAGTTCTTCAATCTGTTTGTTAAAGCTTTTGAAAAGAGTTTTAGATCAACGCACAGCAGGGAGATGGGGCGCCAGTTCTTTAAGCAACCAAGGTCTCCTTTTTTAGGGATCAAAGTTAAAACCGCTCTCCGACAGCTTAGAGGAAGGGTCTCTCTTTCAATGCTTTCCGCCAAAACATCATATATGTCCTGGCCGATTCCAGGATTCAACTCCTGGACAGCTCTCGAAAGTTCAGCCATTGTCAAAGGGCTCTCAAGATCCATCTTGTCCCTGTTAGATAATCGAGGCAAGTCACTCAGAAGAACATCAGCTTCTACTCCATTACATGGCTCTGAACGATATAAATCTTCATAAAAAGATATAGCAAAAGCATTCATTTCAGTTTGTGTTGTTAATATTCTTCCATCTGGATGCTTCAGTTGATGAAGATGCTTATACGCCCTTGGCTTTTTTTCAAGTCCGAAGAAAAAAGCAGTAGGACAATCCATATTATTTAAGCGGGTGAACTTTGCCCTTAAAAGGGCAGTTTTTCCTTGTTCTTCTGCTAAGCTGCGTAAAAGAAATTTCTTTCGTTCAAAATAGTCAGTGGAGATGGATCCTTCCTGTGGCACTGTGACTGCTTTCTCCAAGGATTTCTTGTTCAATGGCTTTCATTTTCTCCACTAGGGCACCCCTGGTAAGTGCAGTAAACTGCTGACAAAAGATTTTTATCTGCACCTTGCCGACGTCCCACCATTGACTTAAAGATGGGAAATTTACTCTCTCCTCTCTCCAAGAATCCCAAAAGAGGTGAAAAGAGTGGACAAAGCAGTGATCCTGAAGTAACCCGTTATCAAAGTGCCAAAGTGAATTATAAGATTTAGTGGTCTCAACAGAAATAGCCATAGAAATATAATGATGGTCTGAGAGAAAAGTGGGCGAAATAGAATTCCTAAAAAACCTTCCCCTATTACATAATTCAGTATAAAAACGATCAAGTCTAGCTCCAGACATATTATTTGAGGTCACTTTCAATCAAGTGTACTGTCTAAGCCCAGGAAATGCAGTCGACAAAATTATAATAATCAATTACACTTTTCAGAATCTTAGCTGAAGGAGGATGTGGTTCATTATGATTTCGATCCAATTGCTGATTTACAGTGCAATTAAAATCACCCCCCAGTATAACAATATTACCCGGGGACAGTGCGATACTGCATCTGATAGTTTTTCAAAAAAAGTGATACGCTCCCGGCCATCATTTGGATTATACACATTAAACAGAGAAAAAAACGTGTCACCTAAAGTAACATCTACTCGTAATATTCTTCCTGGTATTATCTCAAAACTCTTTAAAATACCACCAACCCGTGGTGAAAACAAAATCGCTACCCCTGCACTCACATTTGTGCCATGGCTCAGAAGAACATTACCCTTCCAATCACTAAACCACTGTGACTGGTTCTGCAAATCTGTGTGCGTTTCCTGAAGTAAGATCACATCAGCCTTTTTAAGAATTAAATAATTGAAAAGATCCTTTCTTTTTACTGTACTACAACAACCATTAATATTTAGAGACCCAATATAAATAAAAACATGTCAAAGATAATAAAGCGGTATAAAACAACCCACATCTGCCTTTTCACACTTTTCATATCAATATTTTTTCAAACGCGAATTTAGACTTTTTCTAACCGTGCTAACCGTGCTAAGTTTTTTAAGCCTGTAGCGTTTTGGTTGATCTAGTTCCTCCAAGGTCGCCTTTCGCATAGCAATGGCACCAGACTCCACGAAAAGTTCTAAATCAGGAAAGTGTTTTTCCAGTTTGGGTTTTCTCTGATTTTTAGTAGGGTCTAGGAAATTGCTCAACTCTTGAACTGTGTAAAAAGGAGGTTTTAAATGGGGTGTAAGATAATTTCCCACAGAATTTCCTTGTGAATTGGTATCGTGTTCTTCTCCAGTATCTGGACATTTGCTTTCAGAATCATTCTCAGATAAGTCATCAGTTCTCTGTGACAACAGATCTATATAACCCTGTAACAGGCTGCTGCTTTACACAAGCAAGTATTCAAGTTCACTTTGCTTTTCTGGGTATTTTGCATCACTAACTTCCCCTGAAGCAATGAGCTCCTCAACAACTTGAGCATTGTCACGTTCATGTGTAGGCTACTAATGATGACAGAGCCTCTGTCCTTATCTTCAGTGGGACAATCTTGTGTAAACACACCACCCTCTCCACTATTAGACACAACTGCAGTTTCATCTGGCTGTACATTATCAGTAGAAGTACTTTCTGCAATGTTAACTTATTGTTATCCCCAGCGGTATTCACCTGTTCCGTTACACGATTGTCATACATGTGACGCTTTAGACATTTCCTCGAAATCTTACGCACATGGCATCCTCTAGCATCAATATGAGACGCAGAACCCAAGGTCATACAGGTGACGCTCGTCTAAATCCGACGCACATGGCATCGTTTAGCTTCAATATGAGACGCAGATCCCAAGGCGTCATAACCGTACCCTACCCCAGACCTAAACCTACCCATAACAGTGCGTGTTATATTGACGCTAAAGGATGCCATGTGCGTAAGCTTTCGACGAAATGTCATATGGCGTCACCTATATGACGCCAAAGGATGAGAATGCGTTGATCTTCCACTGACAGTCTCGTCTGATGAACATTTGCACCCGTGGCGTACGGCCAAAGAAGCAAATCCATCAGAATTCGACCCCATTGCTGCACTCTTTTACCGACAAAGTCGGCAAAATGAAAGGTACCTTACAATATAACAATATGTACCTTAATCTATAAAGAGGAAAAAGGAAAAAGTTTGAAACTCACTCAAACACTCCTCCCGAACACTCCGCACATGCGCACAGAGAGATAGAGAGATAGAGAGAGAGAGAGAGAGAGAGAGAGAGAGAGAGAGAGAGAGAGAGAGAGAGAGAGAGAGAGAGAATTAACCTTCATTTACTATTGCGAGTGCATGTGTTAGGCTATACTGTAAAGAAAGTGCACAATAAAGAAACAATAAATAAAGAAACAATAGGCTAAAGAAAGTGGACTGGTCACAATCACCCAGTGCACTTTCTTTATTGTGGGCTCCTTTTCTGAACAATTTTGCAACCCCAACTTTGCTGAAGTCTACGGTTCATTATACTTTTTCATTATTTCCCTTTTTTTTTTAAATGAGATTGTACAAGTGTACATAATCAAACACGTCAGGGTAGAAAGAAAGAAAAAATACAGAAAAATATTGTATCTTAAAAGTTTTTATCCCAAATATATTTGAATGTCAGTTTTTAATTAGTCAAACAGGCTTTTTTTCAAACCATTAACTTTGTGAATAATGAGCAAATAGGCTTAGTAATTACATAAAAAATACTAGATTTTTATCAACATCCAATTAAAAAACACCTTAACATCTACAAAATTACCAACATTCTTAACCTCTTTTTGTAAATAATACTGTATACTCACCACATACCATACTGTACATATCATACATTTTATGTTGTATACTGGCTCATATACAGTCTATCACCTTGACATCTATGTGGATGCAGCATCATGCAAAAGCAAAAGTTTACAACAACGCCATTGAAATGGGTTATTTACACTTTGCCATAATTAGTTGATTCCATTAATTAAAATGTCCAATAACGGTGGGGTTACTGAGATAAAACAAGTACTTTTTGGCTGTTTATGTGATCTCAGCTCTAATTAGGCCATTGATATGAAGACTACATCATTTTGAAAATTCACATTACTATTCATTTCTCTATCTGTACAACTTTTTAATGAGGAACAAATTAAGCACTTTTAATGAGAGTCTCATTGCGAACAAAAAGATCAGATCCAATGTGCACAATTAAATATCTTGTCTAAAAACATGGATTATGACAGAAGAAAAGGTTATTTCTACAACTATAATTGTGCACGTTTATGATTTTTAAGTTAATTAGCACAATATGATGAAATCCAATGTAAGAATACTGCGTCAGAAAAGCAGCAGTTTAATACTGACATCAACATTGGCAATTAAAAGCAAATTTAGCCATTATAAAAGTTAAAGGCACACTATGTAACTTTTGGTCCTCTAGCAGTTAAAAAACAAAACTGCATGCAGTGCGGAAAAACATATTTTAGTTGTGCTTTGGCTCTGCGTGACTGTGTGGATGAATATGACCCTTCACAATAGATAATAAACTCTGTTATAGTATGGCAATTTACCTGTTCAATAAAATACCTTACTCACCTGTTGAGTAATAAAAACACCATCTTCATATCGCTTTTACATTTCAATCCCTCAGTTCGCATCTCTGAAAAGCCAAGCCAATGTTGATTCTGGTTTTATTACAAGCTCTGTCGTGTTCCCTTTTTTGCCCGCAGACTTTCCTCTGTTCTGCTTTTTTAAAATTTTATAAAACGGATGATTCCTCAGAGGTTCGAGATTTGGCGTGCTCCATGTCAACCTTTCTTGTTCACGCAAATGTGAGTGACATATGTACGCAATTTCCTGCGAAAACCATCCCAACCGGTCTAAAATAAACACTTATAATAGGCTTACTATTAGTAAATCAGTGTAAGACAAAAACACGTTTTGGAAGTAGGATTGATAATATCTCATTATTTACAATTAGTTAATTTTTGAACAAAAAAAAAAAGTTACATAGTGGACCTTTAATGTAGAAGTTTCAATATTTAAGCACCCAGAAAATAATTACTGGTGAACCAGAAACCTATTTGCAACTTTGAACTGCACATATTTCTTCAAAAACAGCCATTCAACATGTTCTCTCATTTCTCCTTTGGTACTTACAAAAATACGAGTGGGGTCAAAAGGACACTCATTGGCGATGGTAAGATGACTCCTGCCGTCATCACTGTAGCCACAGTAAACGAGTAGTCCCTTGTCCCCCTGAATTACGGTCTTTACCAAGGACACTGTCAGACCGGTGACTGAGGCGGCAGCCACCAAACCAGCTACAGTACTTAACATGAGCAGTGACAAGGTCTACAACACAAGAGAGAAGTTTTAACAGTAGCAAAGAACAATTAAACTCAAGTGCCAAAGGATTTTCCTTGCAGGCTTTTCTTATATCACAGGGGTTTTGTACATTCTGAGCTTTGAAGGCACATGCAAGCTCTCTGACAAGCCAGTGATCAAACGCTAGTGAGCTCGACACAAGCCCTGATGAATGAGAGAGGAAGCAGGTGTGTGTCACTGACGCAGAAAGAAGAAAGAGGGAGAAAAAAACATACAGAGAAAACTGACAGAGAAAGCACAAACATAAATCAATGGCAAGACTTTCCATGGGTTTGTTCTCTTTCTTTCCTGAAAAAACTTTTTCGAAGCTCCTCAGGTATTTGTGCAGTCATTGTGGACCAACAGCGGAAGAAAAAAAATGTATTTACAGAAGACAAATTTCTTTTTATCTAAAGAACAGGTCTATTAGAACATGATGAGAGGGTGAATCTTATGCAAATATAATATTCAATGTCAAATTTAACCCCAAAATCAAACGAAGAAAACAATCAATTAAATTTCACGTTAAGAATTTAAGCTTATTTTTTTATGTCAAATAATATTAAATAGCCTATTGACAATTAAGCACATTTCCCCTCAAATTTCATTATGTCTGAGCATATTTAGGTATATTGTAACTCCCATTAGACTCAAATGATTTATGGTGAAATATAATAATAATAATTTACAATTTAAATTATATAATTACACACCATTGTCACAATTATGCATTAGCGTTATGAGAAAGATAATTTTTGTTATTATTCTCATACTTTTATGTGAATATGAGGTGGAAATTAGCTTAATTGTCTTGTAAATAATGTCCACAATATAATCAAAAACCACTAATGAACTCAATAGACTTCTTTCCTTTGATTATGAAGTGAAATATGAAGTGACCTGAGGTTTCATAGATTTAGTCTTTTAAGAGATTACAAGAGAATATGTGTGGGTTTTAATTACAAAATGTAAATTACAGTTATAACTGAGACACATAATTTGTGCACGAGAAGTTCTTACTTACCAGTACCCTGTTCTTCTCATTTTTGGACAGAACAATAGTCAATATCCCGGTAACGACACCCTAGATAAATAGAACAGCACATTATTATGATTTCTTCTCAGCCCCCAAAATATTTGAATGCAAATATTTAGAAAACAGCCACACATCAAAATAAATGAATGGCATCACTCTAAATACACACAATGAAAACAATTTGAAATTTATTGGAAAGAAAAAATACCACAAGGACATATTTCAAGCAAGATATTTCACAAAAAGGAGTTTGTTAGGTTTTTAATGAAAAATCATTAGATTACAACAGAAAGTGTTTGGACAGCTGTCAAACATTATTGGATCATGTTGATAAACTACACCTGTTATTTTACTAGTTAAATATACTCTAACAAATGGCTTGTCATGCATTATGCAAAAGGCAGGACATAATATTCCTCTGGTTGATAAGATCAAATTGCCCTTTTTACAGTTATGTTGTGCCTCACCAGCAGGCCCGCTGTCAGGGCTATGACGTTAGAGATGGCGCTTTCCATGGCCTGTCCCCGCTGGAGGCTGAAGTGTCTCAGCACCACACCATGGACCAGAGCGCCCAGCAGGAAATTCACATGCCCTACCAACACCATACTAAGGCCCATCTTCATCAGCCCCTTCTGCTCCTCCAGACTGCCACAACACACCCCTGAGAGAGAGAGAGAGAGAGAGAGAGAGAGAGAGAGAGAGAGAGAGAGAGAGAGAGAGAGAGAGAGAGAGAGAGAGAGAGAGAGAGAGAGAGAGAGAGAGAGAGAGAGAGAGAGAGAGAGAGAGAGAGAGAGAGAGAGAGAGAGAGAGAGAATTTTGAATTTTAATACACCTTTATTGTAACAATTTAGTCTTGGATTATTCACACTTCATCCAACAAAAGTTTTTTTTTTTTTTTTTTTTTTTTTTTTTTATATACCCATGTACATTTTAAAAAGTCAACACCAATTCATTTCTCTCACATAAAGTACACAATACCTCATTAACACACCAGATTTCTACAAACTTTGGTAAACAATCCACCAACTTGTAGTACGCAAACTCTACTTTTAGTCTAGCTGCCACAAGCCCCAAAAACATAGGAACCACATTTATTGCATCCTGCCCTAGAAGTTTGTTTTTTCTTGTTTTCCAAATTACTAATTTTGCAGTGCCTGATAAAAAATTTATTAAAACCAAAGTCCTTTTCCTTTGAACGGAATACCTAGGACCATAAACAAACAATTTGAAAGAAAAATCCTCATCTAAACATAAAAACCAATTGCTTAAAAGGGTAAAAAGATCCCCTAAACGTAAGCACTGCACAAATAAATGGAACACTGATTCTACCTCTGAACAAAAAGGACAACCCACCCCAACACTAGGATTAAGATGCGCCACATGTCTGTTCGTAGCTATCGCTCCATGTACAATTCTCCACTGGAGATCACCTGTCCGCTTATTAATTGGACATTTGTACAGAGCACGCCAGCAGCCTTTAGGGGAAGAGTCAAGTCCAAGAAAGTCCATCCATTTTGTAGAAAAAACACCAGTCAATAAATTGGCATTTGACACTTTTAAACAGGTCAAGTACAAGGCCTTCTTCCCAGTTGACTCGAAACAATCCAAAACGGGGGTTTTGAAAGTCAACAAACAGTGATCATCCTCTTCCCAATTCTCCACAGCAGCCTTTACTATGAGTGAGGGAAATACATAATCATGCCCTTCTGTCCACTCATGAATCACCTTTGTGTTGTCCAGAAAGTCTCTGTACTCCTCTCCTAATGCCCCTCGTACTTCTGCAATGAACTGCTGTATCACTCTTGCAGATTTCACTTCAGTCCTTTGGCTTATAGCTTCCACACTGCTACTCAATACATGGCCCAACTTCATATATCCAGCAGCCAGCAACCGTGAACGTAAGCATGCAGATGACAAAAGTCTTGAAGAGAGAAGAGGGTTAAAAAACAAAGGTTCCTCCAACAGCCAAGGCCCAGCTGACACATCAGGTGATCTTGACACAGTAAAAACTTTCCAAGCTTCAAGCATAGATTTATAATATGGGGTAAGGTCTACCAGCTCAGACTCTTGTAAATCCATAAGAAATAAATGTTTATCGAGGCCCATTCCGCCTACCCTCCGCAAAAGGGCTATTGCAGTGTCCATCCAAGAAAAATTGCTGTTGTATAGCAGTCTTTGAGCGGTTTGTAAACGAAAAGTCATTAGTCTTGCCTTGAGATCCACCAGGCCCTGTCCCCCTTCTTGTATAGGAAGATACAGTGCAGCAGAACGAACCCAATGGTATCCAGACCAGAAAAAGTTCACCAAGTGCCTCTGAATCGCTTTAACTAGACCCGCTGGTGGTTGCAGTACATTGAATTTATGCCACAGAGTGGATGCCACCAAATTATTGGCCACCAAAACTCTTCCCCTGTAGGACAACTGGGGTAGCAACCATTTCCACCTAGACAATCGTGTGCACACTTTTTCCTCTACGCCCTCCCAATTTAATTTTTGAAACTCATTAGAACCAAAAAAAATACCTAATATCTTAAAACCTTCTAATTTCCATTTGAGATCTCTAGGCAATGATGGGAGGTTCTCTGAAATGCCTTGCCCTACCCAGAGGGCTTCACTTTTATCCCAGTTCACCTTGGCTGTTGAAGCCTTCTCATAAACACAAAGTGCATCAGACAAAACCTTAACATCTTGAGTATTTTTAACAAATACGGTAATATCATCAGCATAAGCACTTAAAACTGTTCTTGATGTCTTAAAAATAACAGGTATATGTAAGCCAGACATTTTATCTCGTAATTTGCAAAGTAAAGGTTCAATTGCTATACTATATAGCTGCCCTGATAAAGGGCACCCCTGTCTTATGCCCCTTGTTACAGAAATTGGACGGCTCAGTCCACCTCCTACCTTAACAATACAAGAAGCCCCTGCATACAACAATTTCACCCATTTTAAAAATCCTTCCCCAAACCCAAATACATTCAATACATTAAAGAGATAGTTGTGGTCGACACGATCGAACGCTTTTTCTTGGTCCAGGGAGATTAAACCCATTTCTGTTTTAGAAACTCTGCAAATGTCCAAAACATCCCGTATCAAAAACAAATTGTCCGATATTGTCCTTTCTGGAACACAATATGTTTGATCACTGTGTACTATTAGATGGAGGTACTTTTTAAGCCTGTTTGAAAGGCATTTGGATAAAATCTTGTATTCAGTAGTCAATAGGGCGACTGGTCTCCAATTCTTCAAAAGAGACAAATCCCCCTTCTTCGGCAACAATGACAAAACAGCCCGTTGACAGGACACAGGCAACATATCATCCTTGTTACATACACAAAAAACTTCAAAAAGATCCCGTCCAAAGCAATGCCAAAAATGTCTATAAAATTCAGGTTGCAAACCGTCAATGCCTGGAGATTTTCCTGAATTGAGTTGGCCCAAGGCAGCAGTTATTTCTTGATAGGATATATCTATATCCAAATCAGTCTTTGAGTCAGAGTCTATTTGAGGTAAATCTTGAAACAGTTGTGCAGAACAGTTTGCATCACAATGCTCAGCAGTGTAAAGGTTTGAATAAAAATCCACAGCGTGACGACGCATATCTTTTTTATCATACGTCATCCTTCCATCAGGAAGACGTAAACAGGCCATCTGTTTGTGCTTTGCCGCTTTACGCTCCAAATTAAAAAAATATGTACTTGGTGCATCCATGTCTGCAACAGAAATAAAACGAGACCTTACCAAGGCCCCTTTTACTCTCTCATTTAAATAAGATCCCAACTCCATTTTTTTCCTCTGTAACTTACTACTTAAACTAGGATCATATCTATTAATTAATTCTGATTCTATTGATGATATTTCATTTTCAACTGACTCAATTGTTTCTTTTAACACATTAGTAGAATTGGCAGTGTATTGTAAACAGAACATTTTTATATTCACCTTTCCTATGTCCCACCACTGTCTTAGATTTTCAAAACTACTTTTTTTCATTTTCCACTGTTGCCAAAAAATTTCAAAATACCTACAAAATTCTTTATCTTGAAGCAATCTAATATTAAAATGCCAAAAAGAAGACTTATTTGAGGTCTGAGATTTACTTATTACAATCGAAACCAAATGATGGTCTGTAAAACCCATTGGTGTGATGGAACAATTCATAATTTGACTACTCAACTGCTTGGATACATAAAATCTGTCCAAACGAGCAGCAGTAACTCTATTATTATTCATCTTAACCCATGTATATTGCCTCACATTAGGGTGTTTGACCCTCCATATGTCCAAAAGATCAGCTGCCCTTATTGACCTTGATAAACAAGATGAAGACTGAATATGGGGTTCCTCAGTATTTCGATCAACAGAAAAATTCTCCGTACAATTCCAATCTCCCCCAACTATGACATTTCCATCATTAAAGCATTTTTTAAAAACATTGCTTAACACACCAAAAAACATTAATCTTTCAAACCCTATATTTGGTGCATACACATTGATAAAATAAAAAATGTCCCCATCAATGTCAGCTTTAACAACAAGAAGACGGCCATTCATTGGTTCTTCTGTACTCAAAACAGTAACTTTTAAATCAGGTGAAAAGAAAATTGCCACTCCTGCACTCAAATTTGTTTTATGGCTTAATTTATACTGCCCTTTCCACCACAATCCCCACTCAACTTCATTTCCTACATCACTATGTGTCTCTTGAAGATAAATAACATGCAATTTTTTCTGCTCTATTATTTCAGATACTAATGCACGTTTGTGCATATCCCTCCCCCCATTTATATTAAGAGAGCCTACTCTTAAAGCATCCATATGTAGGTTTAAGAGGGAAAGGAAAAAGACAGATAAAAGCAGCATTAAGAAAAGAGACACCATGTGATGCATGGAATGGTTAACTAAAACAAAGCCTTTAACGTTCTCTTTTTTTCCACATTTCTATATTTTCTAATTGCCGTTACATGTTTCTTCAAACGAAACCTTTTCTTTTCGCTTAAGCTCTCAAGACTCACATTTTTTTGATGTACTGAAACGGATTTCTCAAACTTCTCAATATCTGGAAAAAAATCTATCACATTTACTTGCTTCCCAAAAGTGTCATCCAGAAAAGCATTAATCTCCTCTAAAGTATACAATGAGGAATCATCTTGTGAGAACTCTTGAGAGTCCAACTCACCACTGCACATAGAATCTCCCTGTGAACTTAAGTCAACATCATGTATAGATGTATTCTCATCTAACAAAGTTTCATCCATGCCACTCTTATTGGATTCTTTGTTGCAGCTCAACTCCACCTGCTCTATCTCCTCAACACGCTTGCAAAACCTAGCCTGTATACCGCTCGTACTTGGTACAGAAAGCAAGACATTTTCAACATTCAGTGTTTCAGCACTTTCTCCGTTCATGTTAACAATCGCAATATCACTAGGATCAGACTCGGTCACGGTTGTTCTCACTTCGCTATTTGTTTGAATATTCTCGGGAGCAGTTACACTTATTTCTAAAACTCCTACCTCAGGAGGATCTTCAATCTCAGCCCGAACTCCTTGGGTAGGCACTCGTTGAGAAGTAACATCAATCTCTGATCCCAAAACATTGCCTTCAACTTCGCGTTCTTTATGTGGGCACGCATGTCGTTTGTGCCCAACGTCACCGCATTCAAAACACTTCATATTACCCGTTGTTGCGTAAACCATATATGTTTTCCCCTCATGTTTAACACGAAAAGATATATCCAGCGTTCGCTCCGGAGAATCCAAAACCATGTTGACATTTCTCCTGAACGACATCACGTGTTTTAGAGCCGGATGTTTACATCCTAGAGAGATCGTTTTAAATGGACTAACAATTTTTCCGAAGCGAACTAGCTCGCGCTCCAACGCTTCATTAGTTATATACGGTGGCACATTTGAAATCGTGATTCTGGAAGAAGCTGCATAGAGTGGAGTGACTTGAACTAAATCATCATTAATAATAAGGCCATTTTCGATTATCTGATTGACAAGATTCTGTACTGTCAAAAAAACTACAACAGCCTTATTCATACGAGAGGCAGAAGAAATATTTTCATGGCCTACCGCTTCCCCTGTCGCAACAAGCACATCCTCCACCATTACCCCATCAGGAGGCACACACCTGAATCCATTGCGTAAGGACAGCGCCTCAGCCTGAGACGCCATCCCTCCGCCTTAACAGCAACAATAACAAATAAACACTTACCAAACCATGCAGAAACAAGATGAAATGGGGAATTTTTTTTTAAAAAAAGAAAAGAAATATAGGTGAAAAACCACCACTCAGTCTTCACCCCCACCACTCTCGCACGTGCAAACTCCCAGAATTCCCGAGAGAGAGAGAGAGAGAGAGAGAGAGAGAGAGAGAGAGAGAGAGAGAGAGAGAGAGAGAGAGAGAGCTGATGGGATACCAAATGTAGCCAAGAGCTCTGTGCTGACTTTACTGTCATTCAATGAATTTACTGCCTCCAGTACCTTCCTCTCAACTACATAAACACTAAGTTAAGACTCGGAGAGGAGACAAGGGTCGTATTTTATTTCACGTGGCTGTGCTGACAAGCGTTACAGATATTCTGCTGGTGTGCTCTGGGAAGGACTGTGAAAGCTGAAGGAAAGATTAGAAGTGGAGCGGAGCAGTGTGGAAGTGGAGCGGAGCAGTGTGGGTGGACATTACTTCACAGCAAACACAAAGGCTTCCCTGAGGACAGAGTTTGGGCTGCAGGAGAGATGTCACCTCAGTTAATCATTACACACTTTGTACACTTAGCACAGCAAACTCAACAGAAAATGGCTCGTTGGACTTTTGGGAAATGAAAAAAAGTTTGCGATAGTGATGGGGAAATGCTACAAAGATACATTTTAACATAATTTCCTAAGTAATATGTCCTGCAGACTGTCATTTGCTTGGTACAACCATAAACAAAACTTCTATAAAGCATTATATTTCTGATATATGAAGTGTTTTTTTACATAATGACAACAAATATTAATCATGGCTTTTCTCAGTATTGCAAACAGAACGAAAATCAGCCGTCAACTTCAACAAAAATCATTTATGAACATTTAGTTTGGTTGTCTCAGTAACTCACCTGAATTACCCATTGAACAATTTCCTCAATAGTTTAAGTCCTCTGTTAGGTCATGACACTTCTGTATATATTCCAGGAGAGAGGAGTACTGTCCTGATCACACATGTGTTTGTGTGCATGCAGGAATGTGCCCCGGATATTCCCTTACAGGTCAGCCTTTGAGGCTGGTAAATTTATAAATCATTTGTTAAATGTTCTGATATTCTGAAAAATATTCCAGCAACTGGATTCAGAGTGTCTTTAATGCAATGTATAATTGCATAAATTATGTTCTCTCCACAAGAGGGACACAAACACAAAGGGGAAGAGAACTGCAAGAAATAGTTCTGTCAGTAAAACGTTTTCTGTCGGAGAACATGTTTGAATACTTGATTAAATACTGGGCTTTTAGGCCTAATGAAGGCATGATTTTGAATCAATTAGAATTTTATTTTAAATGCGGGGCATGTCAAAGTTATGACATATCATACGGTGCAGGTAGACTATACTAGAGTAAGAGGACCTGAGCCTTGAAAAACAGGCTGAGCATATGAGCCCATCACAGATCGTGTAGCGCCCTCTCTGTTCTAGCGGCAGTACTTCGGCTCTCTTTTCACACGGTATACCGCACGCGGGCATCATTAGCAAATAATACACCACCACACCAATGTATTACCGGTAAATGGATCAGATCAGAATGTCTTAAAATATTTATATCTAAAATAAGATTTTTAAGAATACTATAATTCCTGTTATAATTGTTTTTTCATTATTTTAATGGTTTCAACATGCTCATATTTAACTGCTAGCTACTGACTGATATTCACCATGCACTCTTGGGGTTCCATATATAACATTATGGTTATTGTCTCAATTTTAGAGAACACTTTATGCCAAAAGGTTTCTATTTAACGAGAAAGATGTTAAATGATATCATAATACTTTTATGTTTAATGGGTTATTTCAATTAGAGATAAAGTTTACAACTTCTGTTTAATTCATGATTTCCATTACACGAGAGTAGATGTTAAAACTTCATGCTGATTTGTACTCGGCTTTCGCCAAGATAAGCAAAACTAAGACGTAGCTTTACAGTAAACTATGCTTCTCCATCCATTTACGCTTCTTTCCATAAGGTAGTGTGACTCCCCTTCTGTCCGGCGTTAACGGCAGCAGTGTACTTGGCGCGTTAGCGCACGCGACGGCTGCAACTACAGGACCAGCACGACAACCGTCTGGATTGAACCGAGTAGGGGACATCTCTAGGGTCTTCAAGTGGGCACCTTCCGTCCTCAGTGTTTCGTCGACTAGCCCACGACACCTCAAGAGGGCTCGACAGTGACTCTGGCGTCCCAGAGTCACCCCCTCCGTCCCCCACTCAACTCAGCCCAGCTTACTGACCTCTACATCCCTCCTGCTGCTGAGACCTAACCACAATATCACAATCTCTCCGCGACCCAACCATACGCGCCAACCCGTTGACTAAGGCTGTCGAGCCCCACTGGTGCGTTAATATGCAGTTTCAGTGGACAACGGTTCCGTATGGCTTACCACCTACCGCAAAACACAATATCTACCCAACCACCCGTCATTCACGCAATATCCACAGGAACGTATACAAACAAACCAACAGACTCTTCAAGTTTTAAAGAACTCTACGAAACCGTAGCGTGGCGGCCTGTACACAGCCAGCTAGAATCTTTCCGTCTCAACCACAGCCAGTTGCTGCTCCTTTCTGCTGCTTCAGATAAGTTCTTTACTGTGCGACGCAACTCTTGGCCACTGAATCCGACGTCTCTGAGGAACCGGGTTGTAGAGTGTGCCACAAAACCTCGACAACCCACTTCCACTGGATAAACCTGGACTCTCCATCCTCGCTGTTCTGCTTCAGTGGCCAGATGAGCATACCGCAGTTTCTTCCTCTCATATGCCTCATCTACCGCATCCTCCCATGGCACTGTTAACTCTATCAGTTGAACAATGCGTGCTGATCCAGACCACAAAACAATATCTGGTCGTAGGTTAGTGGTGGCAATCTCAGGTGGAAAAATAAGCCGTTGGTCAAGATCAGCCAGCATCTTCCAGTCCCTAGCAGCTTCCAGTTGTCCTGGGCGAGAATTGGTGTTAACACCTTTTCTTGGTGGTTGCTCGCCTGGGCGGAGGAATATTGTCTTCTGCGTGTAATGTTTTGCTAGAACAGGTGGCAACTTATTGGTCATGTTACGCTTGCCTTCTAATGCTAAAGCCAAACATCGCAGTACTTGGTCATGGCGCCAAGTAAACCGACCTTGGCTAAGAGCCACCTTACATCCTGTCAAAATGTGCCTTAATGTGGCAGGTGATGAACACAAAGGACAAGAGGGATCCTCTCCTACCCAGAGGTTTAGGTTCTGCGGTGATGGGAGAACATCATATGTTGACCTAATAAGGAAACTGATCCTACTCTCTTCCATTGACCAAAGGTCTTGCCAGCCCATCTTACGTTGTTCCACACTCTCCCATCTCATCCACTCTCCCTGCTTGGCCTGTGAAATGGCCTTTATACACCTCATCCTCTCCTCCTGCTGTCGCACCTCGTTGACTACCAGCTTCCTCCTTTGAGCTGGGCCTGCCTTGTGCCATTTAGGAGGAGCTAAACTGAGCCCAAAACCCCCTCTTCCATGCTGTACCTGTCCCACGATATCCCTAATTTGAAGGGCAGCCTTTGCCTCTACTACAGATTTCTTTGCTGACCACTTTCTACCAGTTTTTAACACAGGGGCTGCCTCCCTTACACATTTGTCGCGTGACTCTACTAAGGTAATTTCCAGACTGACCTTGGCACACTTGAACTCCTCGGTTAAAGCAGAGACTGGCAGCTGCAATATTCCTTTACTATAAAGTCCTACTCTGCTGAGGCAGCGTGGAACTCCCAACCATTTCCTGATGTATGAACTTACCAACGCTTCCAGCTTATCCACTGTTGTCAAAGAAACCTCGTACACGGTCAGTGGCCACAGCAACCTCGGCAGTAGACCAAACTGAAAGCACCAGAGTTTTAGTTTGCCAGGTAGAGCACAGCTGTTTATGCTCTTCAACCCTTCCACTGCTTGTCGTCTAACTTCTCCCACCCGAACTGTGTCCTTTAGATCCCCATCGTACCATCTCCAAAGACTCTTCACTGGCTTCTCGAAATTTAATCAAAATAAAAAATGAATTAAAACAAAATTATTGACAACTTCAGTCAGGATTTTTTTCGCTGTGTGTTTTTATTGCTCTTAAATCATGAAAAACGAGATTTGAAATTATTTACATTTAAGAGATTTTCAGAAGTCCACTTGAGTGGACAGTATGCTATTTTGGTTTTAACTGAAGATATTAAACATAGGCCCATATGCAGTAATGACACAGCAATATTGTGTGTATTTATCATGTTTTTTAACAAACCAATGAATAAAAAAATGAATTATTTAAAATCCTGTAAAAACCATAAAATATATACAAAAAAACCCGCAAAATATTCCAAACGCAAACGAGTTTATTCCCGTTCAACCTGTAGGCTAGATGAAGAACTTCATACAGGCCTAAGTAATTTTGCGTGTCTTTAATATCAGAACATGAGGACGAGATTAACCGTCGAAGGTAGGCTACTCTGTAGAAAGAGTATGTTGATTTATAGACGATTTATAGACTGTACTCAATAAACAAGCTACAGTTCGTGCAAAATGCTGCTGCTAGAGTACTTACTAGGTCAAGAAAATATGATCATATAACACCAATTTTATCATCTCTACACTGGTTACCTATCAAGTTCCGTATCAATTACAAAGTACTTCTACTGACCTATAAAGCCCTAAATGGTTTAGCTCCTGTGTATTTAATGGACCTTCTATCGCCTTACAATGTACAATCCATCGCGTTCTTTAAGATCACTAAATTCGAAGCTTCTGGTCATTCCTATGGATATCTAAGTCCACTAAAGGAGGGAGGGAGGGTGTTCTCGCATTTAGCTCCTAAACTCTGGAATAGCCTTCCTGATATTGTTCGAGGCTCAGACTCGCTGTCCCAGTTTAAAACTAGATTAAAGACGACGCATCTCTTTGGCCAAGCATTCACATAATGCTTACCTTTTATACCACTGTTGAATCAGATCGAATGCATCAATTCTATGAACAGCAGCTATGCTAATTATTTCCCATCTGCTTTTCTGCTGTTATCTCGGGAAGCTAGTCCCGAGGTAAATAGCGTTTGTCAGCTCCAGCTTGTATCCAGCCTCTCACGGAGACTTCAGATGCCCCAACACCTGCGATGAGACGACTAAACGCCTGTGAGGAGACGACTCGACGCCGGCGATATGTTATGCCCTAAATGATTAACTGTATTTTTTCAATGTACATTTCTGAAATGCACTTTCTGTAAAGCTGCTTTGAAACAATGTGTATTGTGAAAGGCACTATATACAAATAAATTTGAATTGAATTGAAATTACCCTTATTAGCTGATCAGTCTGATTATGTTTAAGATGGACACCTATCTCTCCTCTCTGAGAATATTCAGACTGAAATACATTGATCTATTAATGTTTTCAGATTGTGGAAAAATACGAGTTTTACATAATCAGATTACTTTTTTCATGTAACAAGCAGAGCCGGACAGTAACGGAGTACATTTACTTGAGTACAGTACTTAAGTACAATTTTGAGGGATCTGTACTTTACTCGAGTATCATTTTTGGGGAGTATTTATGACTTTACTCAAGTACATTTGAGAGGCAAATATTGTACTCTTTACTCCAATACATTTCTATCCATAACCGTGAGTACCCGAGTAAAAAAAAAAAAAAGTAAAAAGAAAAAGAAAAATCTTGGAAACCCTCAATTTGTTGTTTCCCTCTCAAACGTGATTGGATTGTGCAGGCGCCACTGATTGGGACAGCCTATCAGCAATCACTTCCAGCTTTCCGCCAAAGTCAACTCCATGGTCAGATTTTATATTACACATTAATGTAAGCCAAGCATTTGGTTTGATGTTCTTGAGTATGTGGTGTGTTTAACACAGATGTGGCAGTGGCGTAGCCACGAGGGATTTCTGATTTCTTAAAAAAAAAACTTTAGGAGGCAAAATATAT